TTTGTCGTACGACAAATGTAATAGTACCCATAGGCATCTATAGACGGAGCCTTTGTACGAGGGGTAACTGATAATCGCGGCAAGGGGATCACTCATCTGACACCGACTCTTTCCGGTGAGATTCGATAATATTCGGTTCATATTTCCAATACGTGTGCACACGTATATACGGCGCGTTGCTTGTGTGCGTGGCCGAACGGATCATCCCCTCAGATTACGGGCGGTTCGGTCTCCTTACACATTCTCCATGGTCAGATGCATACTCGATTGATAAAGCTGGGTACACGTGTACGTACACGCGACACTTGAGCGACGAGCGGCTCGACCAATCACGGCCGAACGTTCCCGTCAACACGCGACCGCGATTGGTCAATTCGCTCGCCGTTTACGTCGCTCTAGTGTTCTCGGCCTAACACTTGGCAGTCGAGTGGTTCCTCTTGGCAAAACTTTGGCAGATAGGAACAGATAGGAAAAAATAACTCTCGGACGTGGCCGAGCAAATCTGACGCAGCCGACAGCCAGCGCAACGTAGGTTTTGTCGTGAAATAATGTCCCACCAGACCGGAATCAAAGGTGATTATACGCTTGCGGTGCATCAAAGATGAATGCAACCAAGATTAATTGCAGTGAATCGATAAGGGCCTCTTCGACCCTAATCGCCAATCTTTCGTCAATGTAACAATATCATTTCCTTCTCTTCAGCTAACGACGCATTGAAGAAGTTGTTCGCGAAATGCCGCGACGGGAAGATACGGGTACTAAAGATTTCGATAGAGAATGGTAAGTTGTCGGTCGCAGCAAGAGATTTCAAGATCGGAGCAAAGGCATCTTTCATATCTACTCTTCCGCTTTCCAGAGGAGCTTGCTCCGGCGTCTAGTTTGAAGCCAGCCAACAAGTGGCAGGACGATTACGATAAAATGATCAAGCCGCTCATCGTGGAGAATCAGCCAGCCTACATCCTCTATAGATTGGACACAAAGTCACCGGATTCTGGCTACGATTGGTTATTTATATCCTGGTCGCCCGACACAGCACCAGTGCGGCAGAAAATGCTTTACGCCTCCACCAAGGCTACGTTGAAGCAGGAGTTTGGCACAGCGTCGATAAAGGAAGAATTACATGGCACTGTCCCAGAAGATATTACGTTAGACGGCTATCGCAAGCACAAGAGAAACGACACTGCGCCTGTACCGTTGACAACGGCGGAGGAAGAATTAGCTGAGCTGAAGAAGACTACCGCGACTACGGACTATAGCGTGGAGACGAGACATCAGACATTGAGCGGCGTAGCTTTCCCAGTAACGGACCAAGCCAAACAAGCCATCACGGAACTTGGTAAAGGAATTCACGAATACATTCAATTGAAAATTCAACTGGAGGAAGAAATGATACATTTAGTCACGGCTTGCGACGTTTCGCTGGATAAATTACCTACTAAAGTACCATCTGACGCTGCTAGATATCATCTTTACAATTTCAAGCATACTCACGAAGGAGATTACACGGAGAGCATAGGTAAGCGATAAATAACATACCATTTTGTATATCGGTACAGTAGGCCTATATGCGTACAAGGGATCATTTCTTCACTTCTCTTTGCAGTCTTCATATACAGCATGCCAGGATATAGCTGCAGTATTAAAGAAAGGATGTTGTACTCCTCGTGCAAAGCGCCTCTGCTCGACCTAATCCAGTCTCTAGGAGTAACCATAACGAAAAAGGTTAGTAGTCTTGATAATTCGCTACAACTACTTTGCTTTTGTAAATATTTCTTCCTATTGTCACTTGTTTTAAGTTATATTTCAATCGAGTGCCACATACTCTTTAAATAATCAAAGTTGATTAATATCGCACCTGTTCCGTGGCTATAGCTGTTAATTCTGAAAGCAAATCTAACATATCTACAATCTGGTATTTAAACTATCTTTATTGCCATGCTTCACTCCTAATATCTTATAACGGACATACAATTGTTGTTGTACAATTCTTTCAACTTGACTCTAATACCACTAGCTATTGTTTGACTACTACTACCAAGTATGTTTGATATGTATATATAACTGCCATCTCTGTATTATATAACTGCGATCCTAGTTGGAAGTAAATAGTGGAGAAGAGTTGGCAGATATGTTGGAAGATCCTCCAAGCATAAAAGACACAGCTGCAATAACTCCTGCAACTCCGTCAACACCTTGTGCCCCTACTCAATCCATACCAGAGAAAAAATCAAAACAGAAACGGTCTTGTGTCTTAAGCTAAAACTGGCTTAAAGCATTTGTCTCTGCCGTTATTACTGCTTCTTGCTAATTCAAGTGTTTACCATGTTTTGCCCGTCAGATATCTTCCTTCGTGAATTCCAGAATTGTGATAGTATGATATTGACATAGGATGTCATTTTTTAAATAAAGTAATGGGTTTCCAGTGTTTCATGTTAGAGCAAATTATAATTGTCTAGTTATATATATATATATATATATGGATATATGTTACAAGTTAATTTACAAGTAGCAGAAAATAATGTAATAATGCATCATGCAAGAGAAAGTTAATCTGTGTTGTTTATCAGCATTTAGAATTGATTTATATCAAAGTGATACGTACGTGTCTAAGTAGCAAAACAGAGTAGACCAGATGATGTATTTTTCTAAATTTTAAAAGCAAAATTATCACGCGAAAGGCTTTGTGCAAAACGCCATTCTATATCTATTAATAATAAGTGTGACATGCCTATGGCACAAATAACCCCATATAGTTCATGTTTCACATATACTGTATGAAATTATTCATCTATATGAACAATCGTGCCGAGATTGATGGAGTTAGGATTACTTTGTTTGACATTGAAAGCTAAGCCTCTCTCTTTCATTTTTACATTTACGTATTTTTACGTATCAATACTATGTGATAGCAATTTCTCTGTGAAATGTGTATGTAATTTAATTATATACAGAACCTAACACATTCTATTCATATAGAGTTCCTCTTTATTCCAATAACTTTATACTATACGTATACATATATATTTTACATACAATATTCCTATATACCTAAAATATATATTTTCCTAGAAAAAGTACGTTTAAAAGTATATATTGTGCTAAATATATACGAATTAGTTCCTAGTCTAATAAAGGTGATATTTGTCTTTTTAAGTATTTCTTTAGTGAAATTCCGAAGGCTTGGCTTTTAAACTCATTCAAATGTTTATAATAGAACTTGATAATGTAATATTTTTAATATTGATCTGTGGTAACTTGCATATACCATATGTGATGGGTAGAGAGTTGGGAAGAATTCCATTTGCGCTCTAGATAGATAGGTGGATAGGTGGATAGATAGATAGATAGATAGATAGAAGGAAAGAGAGAAAGCCCTAAAGTCATTCGCCTAACTTCTCTATATATTTTCAATATGATGGTAACGTAGTAGAACGAGTGATAAATATGCAAACGCCACATTAGTGTGGATATATTTTTTTCGCACATCATTATTTCAGCTACAAGATAGTGTGATAACACTAGTTATTTTACATATAAAATTTTATATCATGTTCTATACTATTGTAAATGCTACAAAATATTAGATTCTTAAATATGTATGATGTAAGACTGATCTTGGTCCTATCAGCTGTTGATGCGCATGTTAAATATTACATTTAGCAACAGCTACACGCTTGTAAAATCAGTTTAATCGTCTGCTATTCTTGTTATTCTTGAAATCTTAAAGAGCCATATTTTATTAGTTGTAACAATTTATTATTTAAATAATAAAATATATATTTTAAATTTGAAAGATTGTCTCAAATATTTTGAAGTGGACATGCAGTTTACAGCAGATAGGACTACAATTTGACAACCAGCAACAAAATATACGAGAGGCATTCTATTTTTTGTGACTAGTATTTTTTTAACACTTGTAGCTTTTTATAAACTTTTTAAATGTTTTAGTCTAAAATACGCGTGCGGAAAATGATTAATAAAATCAGCTGGGTCTATTTGTGCTGTGAAACTAATTTGAGCCAAATTCTCGTATTTTTTCTTTCCATGTACAGTTAACATTTTTTATATTAGTACACGGTCTTGATATGCTTTTAAGGAAACTGAAATAATCTTAATTATTGTTTTCGATGAATTATTTAATCACTTCTGGCCCAGTTAAAACAGATGTCCAAAGCAGAAGAGAAAAGAGAACAGTTTTTGGCTCATATTTGCATAAATATATTTAAATTAATTCTTGTACTATCGAAGACTAATTAAACATATACGTATTCTATTTTTACAAATCATGACCCACAATATTACCTAGTATATCTTAGTTAAGTGTCATACAGGCCTATTCTGTAACAGATATGTACTCTTTCATTTCATCTTGGCTGAATTTTTCTAGAGTTTTATCTAGAGAACTCATTAAAATCAAGAAAATTGTATATCTTGCCAACATAAAATATACTGGAAATAATAAAGCATTATGCGACTTAAACTCACAATTTGGTGTTTCTTTTTATATTATATCACTGGATATAATTATATACATTTGTACTAGGTGTATATGAATACGTAATTATTAAGGACCACTTAGGTATGTATATTGCTAAAGATGACTTGGCGATACACTCCTTAAATGGGTATGTAATTATTTTTAAGATTTGAAGGCATGTTTTGTCACAACTTACAGAATAGGCCTGCTACATAATCTATAGCCACATCATTAAGTAACTCATCTTGTTTCTTACTTTTCTTCACTTCTATGGCGGCAATTCTCTTACATACAACTACATTCACGCTTCTGTCGACATGTATTATTTATTTCTTAAATATCAATTCTATTACATGTATATTATATACACATCATATTATAATTTCTTTTTACAATTTAATTGCATAGCTTGAGGTAGCTGCTGGAGAGGAACTTACCGAAGCATTTTTTCAAGAGGAGTTGCATCCAAAAATCAGTTTACATCAGCCAAAATTCGCTAAACCCAAGGGTCCACCAAACAGGGGTGCTAAGCGTATAACCAAGGTTCAAGAGTTAGCACCCTCCGGACAAGAAAATTAAATAACTATTTATCAACTTTATATCGTCTAAAATCTTTTTTTCTCATCTATTTTTATGCACCCATTTTTGTTATAAAATCTGTTCAAGTCTTATTTCATTTATTCTAATTGAAAAAAACATATTAATTAAGGACATTTATTTTGGCCTATTCTGTAAATATACACTTAAAGTACATCATTATTTATTGTTTGATCTCTCTATCAATTTATATACAAGATTCATGAAACTTTACACTTACTGTGATAAATTATATGTCAAATTCATGTATATATACATATATATATATATATTTGTTATAAATATTTTGGATCACTTTGCATCTCACAAAACTTGAAGATAATTGCAAATGGATAATAAAAATTGCAAACTCCAATGTCTATATACAAGATTTATTTATATAATTGCGAGTTTATTTCTTTTGGTTTTCAATATCCATTTGTTGAATATTATCTCGCAGTCGTCTATTTTCTTCGTATATTTTTTGTATCTCTGGTACTTCATTGTCCATAACTTGTTTTATCAGCTCACGCGTCCTGTAATTGTTAAACGTGTGTTATTGTCAATGTATCGAAATACAGTCAGTGTACCTTTATGACTCGTACATTTAAGGATGTAGTATAATATACTGAGTGTACATGATATAAGATCCTTGTAAGAAAATATCAAATTTAATATTTAAATTATAGAATGGATAATACTTTACTTGTCATTCCTCGACAAGACCCACTGTTGTTGTGCATCTAACGCCTCGTCCATAGATATTCCTGAGACTGTAAGAATAAGCAATGACAACCCACCACACACTCCACCCAATGCACCACCAAGTCCAGCGCCAACGAGCGACGCTCGAAGCCCCAAATTCATTTTGAATAGTAATCCAGTTATGAAACCACCCAACATGTAATTTTCTATCGCCATCTTGCCTCGATATACTGTTGTACATGTTGCTACGGAGCTGTAAAAGAAAACGTCTATTTACATTTAGGTCATTTGGTGCAAGTTTCAAACCGCAAGGAATTACTTACCTAAAGATGAAACAAAACATCCCAAGCTTTGCTCCCAATCTTCCACCCTTCTTGAAAAAATTCATAGAAATAGATTTTTGAAGTTCTCGTTTTGCATCAAAATGACTTGGGAACCGTGTGGCTTCATTGTTCACAATAAAACTATTGACAGTATTTTTAGTTGCACCTATACCACCTATACCTACGCCTAACACGATGCCTGATAGCGTTACATTTATGATGGATTGCAAGTGTTTGCTATAATAGCCATTTTCACTGGAACATGATAACGATACATTGTACCAAAGTTGTATCTATAAAACTGAGGCCCGGTCTACAATGAGTTGTTAGTCGTTAGTCAGAAGTCGGAACTATATGTCGGTCCTTTTTCTTCCACCCAGAAAGGAAAAGGATCAACATATAGTTGCGACTTCTGACTAACGACTAACGACTCATTGTAGACCGGGCCTGAAGGGAAACGATTTTACAGCTATGTATAATAAGATACGTACTCGAAAGAAAATATATTCTTTACTCTGTCCCAACCCAATTCGTCATCTAATGGTTTTAGTATTGCATTCGCAGGTTTATCAAACTGATTGTCCTGCTTATCTATTGGAAGTATGAACATCAACATTGGGCTTCTGCTCAATAAGCGTATCATCTTGAGTTCTCAATCACTTGCTACTAGTTGTGTGTTCACCACGCATATAAAGCATCAGGAAGTCTGAAACATTTTCAACAAAGTTGAAACGTGCAACGTTTACGCAAACGTATCAAATGTAGCGACATAATATAACCGCGGAACAAATTAAGTGGGATAAAACAATTCAACAACCGCCTCCCACGTATAACCTTCTAATATGTCTAAATTTTCCGAAACGTACAGAACGAAGCTACAGAGCAATTGAGAGATATAGATATGAGCGTGAATATTTCCTTAGAAATTTCGAGGAACTTGACAAACAATCTGAAAACATTTATATTTGGATCAGTAGGTTTCGATATCACATACCCGAGAAACTAGAAATAGCATTCTTTTCGCAGAGTTCCGAAACTCATCAGAGATCTGTGATCAAGGCACGTTTGCAACGTTTGCCCGAAAAACTAGCACGCCATACGGACCTGCCTTAATGATGCCTTGGCCGAGCATATACGTCAAGTATGGAGTGGTTATGCGTGTCATTGTCATGTTGATGACAGTTCTCTCTCCGACATTTCTCTCCAGGATTGTTATAATGACAATAGGATTATTATAATGACAGGCGTAGAAATATGACTGGCACGACAAAATGTTTACGTGCTTTATACCCGAGTATCCAATCGAGGTAAATCGCCCAAGTAAAATGTCGTTTTGCACTGAACAAGTAATCGCTTATCCCGCAGACGAGATCGTTGCGATAAATTATTTTTCGGGGAGAGAGAGAGAGAGAGAGCGAGAGCAACGTTAAACTTTCGGTGTACACAGTGAACACGCGATTTCAACTCGATTGTACTTGGACACAAAACGTACATTTCGTTTCTCGTGACCTGAGATGTGCTCCGATACAATTTCCTTTGTGTTTCCTCAGCAGTTTCGTTAAAAGCACGTTGTTTAAAAAATATCAGACCAACGATTGTGCAACGAGAATTATACTCGATTGAATTTAATTGACTTTTCTTACAACTACTGAAACGCGTAGGTTATGCTGAGGTAAACGAGATAATGTGAATTAAAGTGTAGAGACTCTCGAGTGCTAAATGACATTTTCCATAATTTGTTAAGGATTGGACAATCACGTCTACCATGCGGCACGTCGCATGTACACAAATTTCAGTATTGCCAAATATATTAAATAGATTTTTTTTCTTGTTTCAGTATAAAACGTACTGTGAATAATAGTTTCTAATTGAGAGTCATAAAAGAAAACAGCATCATCATGGAAGAGAACGAAGGATACAATGCTACAGTCCCATCTTTCTCTGGGGTTGAATCAGCACTTTGGAATTACTCCAATCGTGTCATCCTGGAAGATCTTAAAATGGATAGCAACTTTATATGGTTGCTATGTTCGCTAGTATCTGCCATATCCTGGATTGTTTATATCGCTTATTATAATAGTAGAGTGGCTGGTTATATATTGACAAAGTTGTTAAACCGATTTGTTATTAGAGACGGATATGTTAAAGTTGGTAAGAACTTGTGGTGTACTTGCAATTAATAGAAATTACTCCGCTATGACTTTCCGCTTTCCTTACAGGATCTGTCACACTAAGTGCTTTAAGTGGGAAGATAATGTTCAGGGACATAGTTTATATCACGACAGATTATAGTTTTAGAATTCAGGATGGTTGGCTGATATTTAGGTGGTGGAGAAGCTATGTCCCCAAGGACGTATCGGAAGGTATTGTTTTTTTCTTTTTTTGGTTTAATGTGTAATTATATACACGGTAAAGGCAAAATAAAATAATGGTACCTTGTAAAACTTTCCATGTTGTAGATCTCTCACATTCTGACACACGGCTATCAGTTATGTTAAATGGCTTTGAGTTACACGTTTACAATCGCTGTCAACTTTATGCACAATTGGAAAAATCCTTCGGGCTTACCCCACAAATGTTTGCTGATGAGGAAAGCCACAATATAAACAGTGACGATCTGGATGGGGAATCTATAAATAACGCAGCTAATGAAACTCGGCATTCGCAAATTAATGCGATGGATGTATCTCGTCATGTGGATAACATCAGAAAGAAGGAAGCTCATGTGATTGCACGTACTTGGAGAGATTTGATACCAGTGATTAAACTAGATATTTGCACAGTTAGTAACAACAAATTGCTTAAATTCGACTTTGTACTCGTTTGCAAAGAAACTCGTAAAACAACGTGTCCCTTCTTCTTTCCTAGGGGAGGCTGGTATTCGGCAATCGGTTAGTACCAACTACGTTATCGATAACCGTGGAGGAAGCACACTTTGTATATTCTACAAAACCGGCAGCGTCCAGGCACGATCATTTTATGCACTTTACCAAGTGCAAAGCCGAGAACTTTAAAGTTATTTTGGCCCCTAGCCCAAAATACACCGGAATGGTTGACGACCCGCCCAGATACATGGGAGAAGGTTTCGTTGTTTTGAGTTCAAATAATATGGAAGTTTATTATTACATGGACGAGCCTGGTGTCGTACCGGAACATCCTGAAATGATACAATTAGTAAATGGAGACATGGTTGAAGCAATGCCTCCCATATGGGGCATAGATATCAAGTGTGGAAAGGGCACAGATTTCAGTTATGGTCCTTGGGCCGATAGGCAACGAGAGCATTTATTCAAATTTTTCTTTCCCAATGACTACCAACCACTAAAGATAACAAAGTTGCCTAAACCAGGAGATAAAAGACAAGTTCAATCGTTTGACATTAGATTGTCGACGTTGAATGAGGCAACGGTTGATATACTTTTTAGTAAAAATAGAGAAACGAACGCTGTTCACGTGAATGTAGGGCCAGGATCGTATTTAGAAATTACAATGCCATGGATAGTATTGCAAGATGGTTACACTACCAAGATAACGGGTCAGCTTCTACATTTGGAAGCTACAACTAGTCTACAATATCGGAGTCTAGTTGAAAGTGAGACCTTAGAATTTGGAGTAAAGTGTCACTATCCCATCAGATGGAACGATCATCAAGAATGGACGCTGAATTTAACTGGATGTAAAGCAACTGCTAATTTAGTTTATTCGCACAAGGACTTCTTTCAGGATATGATTAATGATTGGGCGAGTAAAGCGAGACCTGATATTTTACACTTTGTCCCGTATACTTGGAAATTTAGTTTACTCTTGAAAGAATTTGAACTGATTACGCTCTGCAACGAATACAACTGGATCGATTGCTCGTCTCAGAATCAAGAGAATGCGCACATCGCTTTTTGCGGGGAGCTTTTTGATCTCTCGTTTGATCTTCCATTCGTAGACTTTCTACCCGTCACGATACCCTTACGTTTCTGGATTCAAGGAGAGAGCGTCGATCTCTTGTTCTATTTGCCGGAAGTTAATACCAATCGTGTTATTTTATTAGCATTAGATAAGAATGCAAAAATCATGACGCGCGACGGGTCTCACAAACATCTGCATGAATTGAATAGAGGCAAGAAGTGGAGAAACTTTTGTCAAAAGGAGTCAGGCTGGGTTGAGTGCTGGTCTGTGCCAATTGTGGCGTTGAGTATTAACTACACGTATCATCTATGTCCACCCTTAGGTCCTACTCCACAAGCTAATATAACAACTCCGGAGAAAGAAGAAATTCTCTTGTCTCCTATGCGAATTCCTAAATGTAGGAAATCGCCGGGCTTGCAATGGGCAAGAAGTGGCGCACAAAAGTTTGATCCGCAGTCCATATCGCCTGATAAAGTTAGCGTAGAACTTGAAATTGGGCCATCCATACTGATTTTATATGGATCTTTGCTAAAAAACTTCATGCACTTGAAGGAGAATTTATTTGGAGATTATCAAATGTTTACCGATATGCAACAAAGTAGAAATACTTCAACATCCGCAGAGAGAAATAAGGATAAGGATATACAAAGCAGTAGCATCGAAGCATCCATGGAAGACGAAGAGATCAAATCTAAGCCGTTTGATCCGAGAGATTATAGATCGCTGGAAGTTACCGTTGGTGTTACTATGCACGACATTCAAGCTCATTTAATCAAAAATTGTAATGAAAATGATCCACCATGCCCGGTTATACTCCTGGAGCGTTTTGGATTTGAAATGAGAAAGGGTTACAGGGAAACGCAACTTCAGTTACTGCTATCTCCTGCCATTGCTTTAGTTACGGACAACGTAACGAGAGCGAATAAAGAGCATCATCTAAATCAGGGACATTTAATGTTGAGTGCATTGCAAATCAGAGGTCATGCTATGTTTAGCAATGAGGGAAGAAGTTTGGATCAGGAAACATTGGAGTATGCGTGGTTGATCGAGGTGCAATTGGGCAAATTAAGCGGGAAGATCACTTCTCCCCAATTACATCACTTTGTCACATCATTAGAGACTTTCTTGTTAATGGCAAAAAATACCGAGAACAGTTTACGTCCACCCAATTTACCTTTTCAATGCCATCATGGTCTCGCGCCACTGCAATGTCCAGAGAGTGATGTCGATAAACATTATAGGTATTTTTCTGTGTTTTCTTCACAATTAGAAATACTAACAGGATAACAATTATTGGTGATTCCCGTTACTATCATTATTAATGAAATCTTAATGTTACAGGTGCCCAAGTTCCGAAGATATAAAATATAGAATGACGAGACTGTCCATAGACGCTGTTGATTTGTATCTACAAGAAGTGGGTACTGCCATACAATTTTGGATATCTCCGATTCGTGTCGCTACTTGTAATCTTCATGGACATCAAGTGAAATCGGGCGTTACCGCTGTTTTGCCTACAATATCTATTCGCCAGTTTGTGTCTGCGGCAGATTATTTTGCAAACACAAGTAACACCAACACAACTGGTAGTGGTAGATCTCATAATAACGCAAGCAGCCGAATGTCAGGTATATTTCTATTATCTAGCATGAAATTCTTTAAATAAAAATATTAAAATTTTTAATAGAAAAGAAATTTCTAATATATTTCTCCTATACATGGATAGGAGATGGATCGGATATATGGCTCGAAGTAGGGTCAACATCTCTGGGTCCAGTTGTTCTAGAAGCCGCGATTTCTCTTCCAACTCCAGAACACAATTTGCACTTGGTACAAAATAAATATTTAAAAATGCACGATGAGGCAACAAAACGTTTGTGGTTTCTATGGCCTCAGGAAAGTGGAGTAAAGGCAACGAAATGTGGTTGTATAGGAGGGTGCACATTCTTTGGCAATAACCGGAATGGACCAAGATTTTTCAAACCAAGCTACCACGATCTTCAAGATGGTATTAACATTGCTGCCTACAGGTATATATTTATCTTCGTACATCGAACATGTCTGATGACTAATTCAAAAGTTTTACCG